GACTTTCGTTGGACTCCCGCAGGACTCGAAACCTCCACAGAAGTCCCACGGGAGTCTTCAGGAGTCCTGAGAAATCCCTTGAAAGTCCCACCTGACTCCTACAGGATCCTCCAGGATCCCGCAGGACTCCGTGACAGGGGTCCCGCAGTGTTCAAAAACAGGGCATTATAACATTTACTATTTTTGCTGATATATCCCTGCAAATGCTGTCATAAGGTGGTGTCTCCGTATATTCAATTTGTTTATTCTTATTTCTTCCAGTTTTGCGAAGAAAACAAAACATCTTATGCGGCTTCCCGTGAAACATGTAGAAACTGACCCAAAATATATTCTGCCATTAAAATTGTTACTTATTCAAATTGTGTAACGGGAGACCATTTATACAGAGGAGCCGTGTCCTTCAGCACTACTGAATTACAGCAGGTGTATTAAGTATGATTCAGCGCCTTTACTAAAACTATTATCGGCGCCAAAACATCGTAGACTTTGTTGTTTTCTTAATAACTTTTGACAGAAATGAGATAGAGATATGCGGTTTTCACATTCTGAAGCCAGACACTATAGCACGTAAACCTATAAGAAAATCAGTGCTCTCAATCAGATTTACCATGGTGTATCATTCGGAGCAAAATCCAAAAGGTTACCGTTCCCAAACCACACTATAAAATCCAATCTCAAATAATACCAGTCGACAGCCAAAACATTTTCCTTCAAAACTACGCAAGGCTCAGATCTCCATCTCCTTTGATTCCGGAGATACGGACGTTTTCCGGGAACACACCTGTCTTATTCCAGACACGTCTGGTAATCTCAGAAACATGTGGATCATAGGTAATCGATCACGCTGATCATCGTAGCGATGTTTGTTTTATTCCCAACTCAACCACAACTTTAAAAAAGCCGATTTTGTGAAAATCCGTTTTTTCGCCTGTTACCGTCAAAAATTAAAAAGCGTATATTTCACTCATTTCTCGTCCAAAAAGACTCAAGTTTTCAGGGAATGATTAGCAGAGATTATAGAATGCGGAACTGATCGAAAAATCAGATCGGAACTTTGGTTCCGATGGGAGGTTTTCCAGCGATCCGCTAAAAAATCGTATGCATAAACTGAAAACTCTATGTAATTTTTTCGACTCGATCTACATTGAATGACATATTCTGAGAATTTCTGAAAACTTGAGTCTTTTTGGACGGGAAATGAGTGAAATATACGGTTTTTAATTTTTGACGGTAACAGGCGAAAAACTGGGAATATTTTTATGCCCTTAAGACTCATCAACTCGATGGTGTTCTCGTTATTGAAAAATATTTAGCAAATATCATACATAGGAAGAAAAACCAAACAATTATATGTCATAGAAATGTTATAATTTACGATTTAATGGAATACCCAGTTGAATTGCAGCTACACTCATCCGACGCATGGTATCTAATTTTTCTTCAAATTCTTGTTCTTGTTCATCTTGTTCCAAACATATTGCCGTAACGCGATATGTTTGAAAAACCAGAATAAGGAGATTTTTAAACGTAAAAAAGTATGTTAAGAAGGATCGTACTTTGAATGTAAGTATCGCAATTAATCGAATCGCGAAAAACGGACCATCTTGACATGTCACTGTTACAAGTATTGACCATATTTCACTGCGAAGAAATTTCTTCGATCGTTTTTTTACAAATATTTTAACAGAATCGGCTATTGATTTTCTGGACGATGGTTTGCTTAAACTTGTAGTATAACGATACCAACTGTTTAGTGAGTTCAAACTCGTAATAGATTGTCGATGATACATAGGTGGATATAATACATTCGTTTTATTAGGAAGCGTCCACATTGAATCTGCTGCTTGAAACATCGAACTATTATTACTGACGATTCGATTTTGATTGTTTTGAGATTCATCACTGACAATGTCACCCTTAGAATATTCGTTTTCTTGCTTGCGAAATATCTGCGGATCTGATCCACCTAGAAGTAACAGAAAAAGAATGATACAGATCAGTCGTCATTTATCATTCTCGTTAAAAAGTTGGTACTTGTAATGGATGTTGTTGTTGTTGCTGCAAGGGATTTAGGTACATTTGGTGATTCTTCCTCTTCTTGAGTATCGCCATTTTTGAAAATTGTACCTGATTGATTACCAAACGATGATGACCGTATCTTCGATTGTCGCTTATAATTTTTTTTTCTTTCCGGTTCATTCTCATCTCTCATTTCGTCATCGTCGTTATCTCTTCGTTTAATTGTTTTATTATTAACTCTTAGTTTTGGTAAAATCGGTACTTGCGTAACTTGAATCATTGAGTTCGTTGTTTTCAATGGACGTATAGAAGAGGATGATTGTTGTTGTTGTTGTTTTTGTTTTGCTCCAATAATTTTTGATAATAAAGCTCCTGTTTGTCGTTGTTTTGGTGGTGGTTGAACAATTTCAATTTCTGTTTGGTCAAATTCAGCGTGAAACGATCGACCACGTGTTGCTGTTAGATTCAATGCGAATTGAAACATACAAATAGTAAATGTTGATAATACGACATACACCATTAAATTGCTTAGATAAATTTCTTTTTCATTGAATAATGTTAACAAGTCTAATATATCCGATGCTAGTGATAAATAAACTAGTAGCAATTGAGATAAAGCGCTGTGACTTATTTTTCCTCTTGGTAATATCCATCTACCCAGAATGATAAATAAAATAAATGATAATTCAACGTCCATGGTATCTTCAACACCCATTTCTTTCATCTAAAGAAATTAGTTTTTGAATATAAACAGTTTGTTTTAACCACATGTATACTTTATTTAAAGCAATAAACATTTGAGTTTTATACATGCTTCATTCTTCAAATATGCGAAATATGATGCTATCGGACGATTCATGCCCTTAAATGATCTGTCGTCAGATCTGAAATAATCTTCATAAGTCATTTAGGTGACAGTGCCGTGTTTTTCGATGCACTATAGTTCAAATATTTAGAACTAGATAGAAATTAGTTGCTTTAGACTTGTTTAAGATTGATTGGAATTGGTTTCTTCTATCAGTGGAATTATTACTGTTTAGCCTGACTATGTTGTGATACAAACCCATGGAACTACGCTACGCAAAGAATGATTTACAAATGATTGACTGTCGCTTAGTCATTGATGAACTAGATTTGATTTCGCCTTCTCATTAACATCAAACTCTATTTATTCTATTTGATTAGTTTTTCTAGTGCATATTGACCATAGTCGGTAAATTTGGTATATGATGACATTGTTACACATAAAAAACACTATTTTGTACGAATATACTTTAAAATAGAGGTGGGACAGTTCCAGTTCAGCTCGTTTGAACGAGAGCTTCTTATCAGTTCTTTTCAAGAATTCAGGGTAAGATAAAATCGGTGAAGCTAGTTACATTGACTTTGGTTAGTGAGCCAAACGTAGATGATGCGTTTAGTGGACTAAACAAAGTGAATATAACTAGCTTCACCAGTTTTAGTTTACTTTGAATTCTTGAAAAGAACCGGTAACCGGTTCGCGTTCTTTTCAATAGAATGTTCACCAGTTCTTTTCACCAGTTCTCAAGAACTTTAGGAACTGAAACCTTGTTTAGATTGTTATTATCTGAACTGAAACTGTTCTACCCCTACTATAAAATACATAATGGCTATTAATCTTAAAACTGAAAATAGTAACTCTATTGTGATGATTGTAACAGGTAGTGAATATAATTCATTCTGTAAAAATGTATTTAAGTTTATTCATGTTGATTCTGATGGTGATGATAGTGAACGATAAAACCGTTTAACGTTATAAACCGTCAAATTCATTTTTCTATTTTGCTTAATTTATTGTTTTCGTTATTGATCATATCTGTCGATGGTGTATGGTGAAATGTTCGTCTGCGTCCATTGGCCAAATTGAAATGTACTTCAGGAAAATACATACACTTGTGCAATAAACTATTTCATCTTACTTTTTAACAATATTAATAGTAAATCAATTATACCTTACGCTAATAAAATACAGACAAATAGGTGACAGAATACGTCATGATATTTTTTGTTCTTTGATAATATCCAACAACAAAAACTAAGCAAATCTGAGTACGGTCGACCGATTTTTAAATGGACCAGGACTACAAGATTTCTCTTTAATATAAAAATTCTTGATATTTTCCTTCGATTTTGAAGTAAGACTTAATTGTTTTGCTAAAAAGTACGGAAAGTAAATAGACACTTTATCATGCTGTTTAAGCAAATTGCCCAACTTTTTCCGCAAAAACTTGCTATTGGCGCTTTTTTAGCTAGGCTCGGACTTGCCCGGCTGAGTCAACAAGTACTGACAACAATCAAAAAAGAGTCACTACAATCGTATGATGAAATCAGTCTCAAATAACGCTGATAGTTGTAACTACTGAATAATCATATTATAAATAAGTACCTAGTCTGAGATTTAATCATTCCAGTTAAAGATTTGAAAGTTAGTCACAAGTAATAAACATGCATTAAGAATGAAATTTTTGGCAAACAAGAACATGCAACATTTTATTTTATTAGACTTCATTCGTCAGTTCTTATCAGATTTCATTATATGCTATTTTTCAGTATTTTAACATTATGAGTGTCTGATAAGATAGTTTAACATCTGTGAACCCGAAGAAGATCCAATGTTTTGGATAAATTTTATCAACTATAAATCACGACTCGGTTCAATGCCTGTAAAAAAGGGTAAGTAGAAGTGAAATATAGGTAGAGTTATTTGAGGTATAATTGTGTTGTAAGAAGATTCTACATTTCTTGAGTAGCATAAAAAAGGTTTAGTTTCCTAACAATGATGTACTCGTTTTCCTGGTCTTTTTAAAAAAGATTCATCTATTTCTTCTGATTTTTCTTTTGCTTTCTTTATCATAACAAAACAGCTGATAGGCCTGATAGAATGTAAGAAAAAAATTTGGATCTCGTGTATGTGTGTAAACGTATAGATCAATGGCGTGTTGTACGTAAAGAACGGAAAAAGAACGAGACGCCAAAATTCTTAAATAGAATGACAAAAAGAGAGAGAAACGTGTAGAATGTGTAGTACAGCTATAGATGGTTGACCGACTAAGTAGAAACGAAGGAGGAAAAAATAAGAAGAAAATATGTGTACAAGGTTCCAGTATTTTGTTCATGTTAGTCGAAACGTGATGTGTAAGTTCGATATTTTCAAAGAATATCAACATGACCGAAGCTAAATCGACACATGATGAAAAGCCTTATAACTCGAGTGATGACGATAAAACGAATGAAGATGAACAAAACGTGGCTGACGATAAATTTGTTTATTTAAAGTCATCTTCAACAATTCCAATATTAATCGTCATCCTAGTGTCATTAATATGTATTTTAACAACAGCTCTTATCATCAAAACATTGTTGCACGATCGTGGTATTTCAACTTCACTATTGAAGTATTTAGGTTTGAAAAAAAATCAAACAGAACCAAAGGTCATATTCTGGCCAACCCTATTAGTAGTAGAATTGCGTTCAGAGAATAAATCTACGACAATCAATGAAAATTCAACAATAGTTTGGCCTAGAATTGCGCCTAAAACAAATATTCTTCCACAACATATTCTGAATCGATTTAAAAATATAGTTCTGCCATCTTTGTTTGTATTATCAATTTTGCTTGCTATTCTTGCATATTATCTACGATATAAATGTATACAATTAAAACATTTTGCATGGGGAGCATTGCCAAAAATCCCATTAAAAAGTAAGATTGATCTTCGGAGAGAAAACACGCAGTTAAATGTATTATCTGATCAAACTATGTCAATTACTCAAGAAATCAAGATAAAACCAGTTAAAAAACAAGATGATTCAACCCAATACGAAATAAATGATATATCGAATATTACTGCCCAGACTGTTCCGAACGAATACGATGAATTTATCACCAAAGAAGAAAATGAGAGAACTAAACCTTCCGCATTGTTATGAATGTTATATTGTTTCATGTTATCACTTTTTTGTTAAGAAACTTTTTTATAGGGAATCTATTAAATGTTGGAGACGAAAATAGTAAGTGCTATTTTATGTATAGAAAAATACAAGAGTGAAGAAAGTTTTAAACTAATCAGGGGTCATCGTGGAACAGGAATATCATGAGATACCATGGCAAATCAGTCTGTTGTATTGTTGAATTTTTTAGATTCATTTATGAACTGCTTGAGTTATCATGTGCCGGGCATCCGGGTTGCTATATGTCACACGGGTGATCAACCTGGTTCATAACCTCGCCTCATTCTCTTAGTGCGTGGTATTTTCTTCTCTTGTCTGTACGTAGTGACCTATATTCTATTTTGTTCTAGTAAGTTTTCACCACTGCAGAAACTCTGCTTAACAAGAAATAGTTTCTGAGAAAAAACATTTTAATGGGATCCTGTGGGATCTCATAGGATGCAAATTTTTTCTAATGTCAGTTTCACAGATTAGGAGAAAACAATCATTGAGCGAATAGTGTAAAAATGATACTAAGTCTTTCTCCGTGGTCTATCGAACTTAACCTTAGAATGTGCTTAATATTATTTTTTTAAAGATTTTAAAGACCATTCAAATTTGAACATATCATGTGCATTGCGTGGATATAAGATACACATCATGCTGTTTATTAAAACCCTATTTGTATACTTAGCTTCACCTTTTGAAATACTGGTGCCTAAAAATAAGTTTCAATATTTAACTCTCGAGAGACGAACTATGCACTTGAATCGTAATCTATCTACTTACAGTTTTTTCACTTATTCTGGATTTCGATATTAAACCTTTTTCAAGTATTAGTTTGAATTCCTCCCTAGAATAGAAAATTAGAAAAACATGGTAAAAATACAAGAAAACAATCAAGTCGTCAAGTTTTGCTCAAAAGGATATGTGACGCTACAATCTATTTTAATCACGACGTTTTCGAGCTTGTTCGATGAGAATTGTATCACAGGATCAGTAGAAACATATTGCATCCCTTAGTTTCTCGAAATTTTGACATCCAGTCATAGATGTCTGAGAGTTTTGGAAAAACATTTTGCTCATATGTTTTCAAAAACGCATGAATTAGACGTAGAATCTCATGCTAATAATGAATATCGCCTCTAAAATCGAATAAATGTCGTTTTCATCGAGAACGGCGCATTTTTTTTGTAAAATACCCTTGCTGTCCCTTAGCAATCGGAAAACGAAATTGTAAAAAATTATTTTTTATAGGCTAATTGTCTATTTGTTACTGAGCCGAATGATATATGATTTGAAAGTTTTCGGTGATTTTCATTTTTTGGTGAAAATCTTGTGTTTTTCGAAATTTACTGAGATTTTCACCAAAAAATGAAAATCACCGGAAACTTTCAAATCATATATCATTCGGCTCAGTTTTTGACGCTGACTCTGAATATAATACTTTTGTTGCATAAAAAGCGAGTTCTAGTGGAGAAAATTGAGAATTACAGGCACAAATCCGATTTTTTCGCTCCTGATTTAGCAAAAGTGAAATTTCTCAGCAATGGAGAAGAATTTCAAAAAAAAACGAGTTATACTTTTGTAGTTCGAATAAAGACCGCTCGAATGGCGCTAGAATGAACTTAGTAGGATCTATAACTTTGTCTATACAACTATCCTCGACACTTTCCATTTTCACCCTCAGTTTTCCAGAAATCCTCTTAGAAAACTGTGGTATGGAAACACAACGAAGCCTAGAAAGCGTTGAAGTACATTGAATTCTTCATGCTGAACAGGAATATAGAGTCATCATTATGATGACTCTATATTCCTGAGCTATTAGCTCAATTCTGTTTCCTTGAAGTGAGATTATAACGGGTTTTCTGGAAAACTGAGGGTGAAAAATGGAAAGTGTCGAGGATAGTTGTATGGGCAGAGTTATAGATCCTACTAAGTAGTTCCCATTCTGAAAAAATCTCGAAAAATTTTCGCAGTGTTTGAGAGAAAATCGAGGTCAAACTTCAGGAATTTTCCAGTAAATTGAGCATCACTCGAATGTAAAGTTAGATTGAGGCCGAATTCCTGGACCATTAGAATCAACTCGCCAAGAGCTACAATTTGATGTATAATTATGCAATGTTTCGTTCATTTTCACCGACTTCGACCTGACCTTCACCGAAAACTTGAGATGTCTAGAAAACCGCTTTCCACACGTTTTTTCAAAAAAGCATAAGCGAGATCTTTAGATTACTTTTGATGCTCTATACGATGGAAAAAGTGAACTTTTCGTGGCAAGATGCTCTGTATAAAGTGGGCGGAATTGCGCGGAAGGACTCTTTTATGTGTACGCTTCCAAATATAATATAAGCCTAAAATGTTTTCTCGAGACTTTCGAAAGATCCCCAGAGGTATCTAAATTCCGGTAAAATCGCACAGTGTAATACAAAGCTAAAAACGTTTCTGGACACTCCTTAGATCCCAAGGGTTTCGAAGCATCCCTAACCGATTTGCAGTGACAGACTATCTGTATTCTGTAAGTTTCCTTGTGCGTGTATCACTCTTTTCTGTTTTCAGAAAGGACTGATGTCCCGCGACATCTGTCTCCGAATTACAGGAAAAGGTTTGCTTAGATTTTTTTCTCTCTGTATCAGTAGATATTTCAGATCATATCTTTGAATATTTTCTCTCTCGTAGATAAAAAAGAATGTTGTACCTTGCTTTCTTGTGATTGGCTTATCCATGAAATATCTGACAGCCATTTCTCCGTATTTTGCGCACACACAGATACACAGACAGACAACCATTTTGTAAGGCCCTAGGCTAAAGTCAAGGAAAAAATTCTTAGAGAACTGCATATATTGGTCTGTTTGCTAATGTTCCGTTTGGTGAGCTTTCACAGATAGGCTCAAATGATCAAATTACATGTATCTCACATAACATGCTATGAGTAACCCGATTCTTTCTTTTCTTAATCTGAGGCTAGATGGTTTTTTTGGGCTATGGCAATATATAGTTAGACTGAAATCATCTGATTAGTGATACTTGTGAGAAAAGATGTGTAATGCAATCTGAAACGCTGATCCATAAGGTTTCCCTTAACAATGGTCTATTAATCGCATGCTCCTTGCCTGGAGAACGAACTAGTGGTTAGTAGCGTCCTTTCATGAGTTCGTTCTTTTAACTACTACGGTTATTAATAAGGATGTGCGGTAACCGGTAAATCTATTTACTGGTACGGTGGTAACCATAAAAAACGTTTTACCGCTACCGATTTTTTATCGCGGTAAAAGAGTTATTACCGTTGATTTTTCCGGTAAATTTTTTACCCTTGTCTTGTTTTACTAAGCGTTGTTTATTTCGCAAAGGACCGTATATTATATAATTACCTTAAAAGGAGGGGGTTAGCGAAAATATAGATTTTGATTATCTTACGAAAGGAGGAACTGAAATACATCTGAAAAATTACCTATATCATATATGAGCGACTCGAATGTTCGTTTTTTTTCTACATTTTCTTCAGAAAACAAGTAAAAATAATCTGTCATGAACAAAAAAATTTTTTTTACGTAGTTTAGCTTCACTATCATTCCAAAACGATGAAGCATCTTGTTTAACGCAATTAAGAATGATCAAAATTAGAACGAAGCAAAGAAATAAAAACTAATTATCAGAAATAAGTTCGGAAAAAAGCTTTAGCAGAGAAAAATTTGGTAAAAAATATTTACCAAACCATCGGTAAAAACGTTTTTACCGCTATCGCGATAATCTCATTTTTCGGTAAATTCATCTTATGGTAAATTACCGATCACCGCACATCCTAAGTTATTAATAGGCATGACGCGTGAAGTTAAAATTAACAATTAAATAATAATAGCTCTCTTTTTGGTATTTCTCTCCTTTTTAGCACAAGTTGTCAATGACTAATCAAAAAAGCCTTTGATTTATGGAATGATCCAGAATTACTTCGCCGACAGGGAAGAACAAAACTAATTATCAATGTGTCGGATGACTGTGAAATCGCACGCCAATTATGTCCGAAGGCTACCAGAAGGTATTACTACGGTCTAGATTAGTATACGGTGTTTGGGGGCATTCATCAGTAATGAGAAACATAATTATGGTTAATGAAATTTGTTTCTTTTGTTTGTTCATTCGCTTTTGATTTCAAAAAAATCTTAAAGCTTTATATGTATGAATATTCTCTGCCTATATTGTAATTACGTGTGTATATATTTCTTTTTCGAAAGAACATATAAAGACAAAGCTGCTATACACACTTGGAAAGAAACCTGAGTGTAAGCAGATGCGTAATGGCGAAATCATAGTAGAAAGACTGATCTAGATCAAAACCCGAAAAGTTTAGTTTTACTTACGTTACTCCCGCTGAACAGCATGTTTTATCACACTAGTTTTTTCAAGTAGGCGAGTTTCGATCAGCGAGGATCATATCGATAACCTCCTACCCAATAATTCAAAGTTGTTTTTTTTCCTAGAAAAAAGAAGAAGCCACAGGCTTACTATACTACCTCGGCAACGCTTTGAAGATTAATTGATCCCATGTGAAAATTTGAAATTCGTGACATTTCTGTTCTCAAGTGTACTTTCGCTAGTGTTATAAAATTGTGATAAAGAATACCATTAGAACAGTAGAGGCTGCCTTGCTTTTGAATTTTCATAAAATGTCTGGTTTGTCATTTGAATATATATATTCCTATGTAATCTCTTCACAAACAAGGATGATGTGTAAGTATACCTCTAAATGTATGTTTGAAATATTTATAAAAAGGTAATTTAAAAAAATATAATTCACTGGTAAGAAATATTTTGAATAATTACACCGATGAGTTCAGATAAACAGAACGAAGCGATTGATTGAGGATTTCGGCAGTGATCATTCTCAGGGCTATCTAAGTACTGTTTTGAAGGAATCTATTTATTTATTACCGATTAATTTTTTTTTTAGATGGATTCTATTCATTCGACTGACAGTAATTCTCATGATGAAATGCAATTAACTAACGTGTACGGTGGTTCTGAGGAAGACGAAGTTCATATTCATTCAGGGCCTTTGCGTGAACAAGATCGTTTTCTTCCAATAGCAAACGTGGCGAAAATAATGAAAAAAGGTGTCCCAGAAGGACGAGGGAAAATTGCTAAAGATGCCAAAGAAACGTTACAAGAGTAAATAGATATATTTTAAATTTGGTCATTTTTATCAAAAAGTATTTATTTAGATGTGTATCCGAATTTATTAGTTTTATAACGTCCGAAGCGAGTGATCGTTGTTTACAAGAAAGAAGAAAAACAATAAATGGTGAAGATATTCTTCAAGCAATGCAAACACTTGGTTTTGAAAATTATGTTGAACCATTACGATTATTTTTATCTAAATTTCGTGAAATAAGCAAATATGATCGATCATTAGTTGGAGATGGTCAGCATGATCTAGAATTAAATACATCATCTCGAAATACGGGTCTAGAACCATATCAAAATTCAGTTCGTGTTGTAACATGTATAAGGAATGATGAAGCAGAAAATCCTGGATATATTTATTCTATTCAGCCATTTCATCAATGAAATTTTATATTGTTATATATCCGCCATATATATTTCTTGTAAAAATAACATGTTTTTTTTTTTTGAATATATTATTAAACAAGGTTTTTTGACTTTTCAGTTTTAAATAAATGTAAAATTGCTGTAACTTTAACAATGACACTTTTTTAACAGCACAAACGCGGTTTTTTTTATCCCTTCAGTTATTTCATGATAGAAAACTTGTCTATACATTCTCTAGTCATTCAATTCATGATATAGTTATGGATGATGAATGTAGCTGTTTTAATTGCTGTGTAAAATTCAGCTTATATAACAATTCTGTCGTTTAGATGTTCTTTATGAGCACCACCTCCAATATATTCTGAAAAGTACAGGGTTATCATACTAAAGTGTTCACTCTGTTCTTATCTTCTTTAAACCTGATGTAATTGTCTTTAGACATTCTTTCATTTTATTTTCAGCAATGAATTTGTACAGTAAGTTAGCTCTTGTTAAGGTTTCTTTCACTGACATCGTGTAACAGTTAGACATACTCGGATACTGATACTTCTCGATTAGTATCGATCTCGACCAGCGTCAGTTATTTTTTCCAGTAAACTTTTCTGCGAGCGCCTCCTTCATTTTCGTTGATGTTGTGTTTTTCGGTCGCACGATAGTCTTAGACAAGCTATCTAATGCTCATTGCCTCGGTACCTTTGGACATGGATGCAATGGGGTAACCCGATTTCAGTGCTATTGGACTGAAGAGATGACAGTTAAAGTTTAAAAAAAATAAAAACTATCTTCATCTATAGACTATACTAGTTATTGAATGTATTGTTTGCAGCAATAGGAGCCAAAAGCAGCTATGCATTTCTTCGTTACGAGATCTTGAGTGATATTTGGAATACATATGTAGAAGAAGATATATTTCTGATATGTTTATTATTTAATTATCGAGATGTACACTGATAGACAAAAAGTTAAGCACTAGTCGTGCTTTGCTGAGAAAACAACTGCAGTTTTAATTATTAAATCAATTTCTCTACTTTACCGCTATAAACACTAATAATTCCAGAAAGATGAACTAGATGCACATAAACATTGCAGGGTTTCAAAAATCCTATATTGGTGCACGCACGCAAGTTTTACTTACAGAAAGCTCCACAAGAACAATATTTTCTCGCTATATCGTTTTCTTGGTTGTTTACTTTAAATATGTCACAGAAACTGTTCGGAACACCCCCGTCCATGACAAACAGCATCGCCGAGCAGCAAACGCCTCTTCGATCTAGCGCTCACATCGCCAACGGCATGGTGCTCTCCAGTTGCTCGTCCGACGACTATCAGCGAAGTGCAATAACTACTGTCCATTTCAAATAAACATGCGACTCGCTATTTTTTATCTAACTCAAATGTAAAAGAAGATTGAGAGTTGCAGTTTTCGCTATTCGACACTTTGGAGGATCGTTTTGTAAAAAAAGAAGTTTAAAAAAAATTTTCTAACTAGGTTTTTCCACACGATCTTCGGAACAAAAAAAGTAAACACTCAATATCTAATATAGTCTGTAAATGAAGAGAGTTTTAAAAACACAACATCAACGAAAATGAACGAGGTGCTCGCAGAAAAAGTTTACTGGAAAAAATAACCGACGCTGGTCGAGACTGATACTGATCGAGAAGTATCAGTATCAGTTCATACCTAGCAACAGCTCTACTAATGTACTAGACCTCAATGAAGGGCGAATGAACGCCTATGTTAAAGAGTTCTTATTATAGCTAAAGAACTCCAACTTTCGCTCTACGAAAGAGGAACTTGGGAACATTTTTCTTTAAGAGAAAACAATCTGAGAAAGCTTTTGTAAAATAGATTTTTTAGAGGATCTTTGGAAAACCAAGTCATAGTCCAAAAGATGAAATACAAATCTATTGATTTTTCTTTCACGACAAGATAGTCCAGAGTATTCTCTTCGAAATTAGAATCCTTCCACTTCTTCATTTCTCATCATTTAGGGTGGCATCGAATTTCTCACCCCTCGCCCTAGGTTTTCGATGACTTTTGACAATCTCAAAAATGGATGGAAGCATAAGTTATCGATATTTTCCTTTTTCAAGGGTAAAGTGTTAATCAAAAATAACAATACAACAGCAGCTGATTTAAACATTATATAATACTTTCCGACGTTTCAATTTTATTAGAAAATCACTTTCAAGCTTGTTAGCAAAGTACAAATTCAAGGCTGAATGGCGTATTTCTATATTGTTCTATACTATTATTTATCTTTCTCTACTTTTTCTCTTTTCTTGTCTTTTCTGTACAGCAAAGTCAGAGTTCATAATAATATCATTTTTTCTGTTCTATTCTTTCCTTTCCACGATCTATAGGAAGACAACAGTTTGATAAATTTTCTCGAATATTATCATAGGCACAGCATGTGTTGTGATATTACTGTCTGTGCAATTTTGAAGTCATCTATATAAATAAGCCTTTCAGTCTTCTTGGATTTGTATTTTGCGAGCAACCTTGAAAATGATTTTCTGATAAAATCGAAACGTCGGAAAGTATTATATAATGTTTAAATCAGTTGCTGTTGTATTGTTATTTTTGATTATAAGTTATCGATCATGGTGAATCTTGTGATAATGTTTGTTTTTCGAAGAAAACGTCAAAAACCTGGTGACAAGTTATACTGCGCGAAATAATCCATTTTAGGCTTTGTTTTGATACTAGAAATAAAAAAATTATTAATTTAGTCAAAATCGATCCAAACTACTTCAGAATGTCAAGATACATTCTGTTTTATATACGCTGTACTTTGCAGTTGAATAAAATTTTTAAAAATCAATAGAAAGTTTGCTTTTCTAAAGATTTTCTAGAAATCTTTCGAAATAAGGTGATACTTTTCACTATTCTTCAAGCACAAAACTAAGTTGCATATATATCGATGCCATGTGGAAATGAAGAAGTAGGAGGATTCTAATTTCGAAGAGAATACTCTGGACTATCCTGTCGTGAAAAAACACCTAATAGATTTGTATTTCATCTTTTGGACTATGACTTGGTTTTCCTAAGATCTTCTAAAAAATCTACTTCACAAAAGCTTTCTCAGATTGTTTTCTCTTACGGAAAAATGTTCCCAAGTTCTTCGTTCGAAGAGCGAAAGTCGGAGCTCTCTAGCTACTCTCGATCTAAAACTATTAAAAAAAAATGATCGAGTCCATTGCGTTTTTATCGATAATAGTTACTTTTAGGATATGCTGTTTCCTTCTAAGCCATGCAATGCAGTTACACGTTATCTGATGTATGTAATAGTTAAGTAGCATTCAGACTTCATTGATTAGGCTACTGTTCATTGTTGAATGCAATATATTTTTCTTCTATGCTATTCAAAATACATAAATTAGACAGAACATAACTTTTGACTTTTCAGCACAGTAAAAATAAATGATTAATGTCATTACGTGCGTCTAATATCTAAGCTAAAGCTGTTGCTAACTCTATGTGAATATTCAACATTAAACAGTATGCTGTTTCTGTAAGAACAAATTTTATTTTTTATTATCTTTTGATGAAAAATTCTTGTTTCTGTTCTTTTAAACTATTCTTCAACTTTTGGCCTCGACAAAAAAAGCAGTTTTGTGTTTTTGATGAACAATATATAAGTTTCTTTCATTTCGAATTTGTTCTGATGCCGATCTGATGTTCAATCAAACCATCATTTCCTTTTAGCTTGTGGTATCTCTTGTGCGCTTTCCACTGATAAACTTTAACATTTAAAAATTACGTTCTTTTTTCCTGTTTGCCAACATTTTTTCAAATATATCAATAAAAAACAGACAAAAACATGAACACAAACACATTGACAAAGACAAGTTGTCTTAAGACATGCATACGACGCAACATACACGCAAACAAAAAAGGACAAAGACACCACGGAAAAATTTTTCGAATGATAAAATACAGATGTAAGAAAATTATTACGAAAAAAGAATTACTTGCTATTTAAAAATAAAAGAGAGAAGATTGATGTTTAGTCCTTTTCTTTCTTTCTTCTCTGGAGTTATGCAGATAATTCCCATTTTAATATGCTTGACGATTTCCTTCTGAAAATTCACCGCTTGTTGGTTTCATACCGGCAGCCTAAAGAAAAGAGAAGAATATCATGATTATTTGTTCAAACACACGACATTAAACATTAACTTACCCAGACACGAAATGGGACTAATTCACAGTCGCCACCAAATTCACTTTCAACTTCAAAGATGACATTGAATACACCGGCTCTCTTTGGTACGATGACTATTGATTGTGTAATTGTGGTTTCTGGTTTTATTGCTGGAACTTTGATTATGTAATCATTGCTCATTGGAACGATTTTACCACCTTGTTGTTCCATTATATCATAATCGGGTGAGGCTTTTACACGAACAACGACATTGCTCAAACTTTTTTTCCAAAGATTAGCAATAGCATACGAGAATGTACAATGTTCACCCATTTGAAATTCTTTTGGTGTTTCAGCCATGATATATAAACCTTCAGGTGTTCTCAATAGTGTTGGTTGAGCAACACCGAGACCAGATTGGGCGTTTAATGAAAAACCAGTTGCCAACCATGTTGTATAAGGTTTCAATGATGGTAAACGCAATCGTCCTTGTCCACTACGATCTAATTGTGTACGATTGAATAAAATTGAATGATAATATGTTGCGCGGGTATGTTCTTCTAACTAAAATAGTCAAAAACACGATGTAAATAAGTAGCAAGACTAGTCCAAGCAAAGATTTGAACAAAAATGGAACAACGCTGTTTTATTAGCGTTTTCGATCAATAAAATAAACATGTGAAGCATGAATAACTTACCATCATTGGTGGAGGTATTAATGATGAATCAACTTTGCTAATGTATTCTTCCAACATTTTTCTGGCTGCTTCACGTGGACTTTTTTCAGTCATTAAATATCGTTCACGATAATTGTTGATAATGGTATAATTCATATGATGCATTTCTTTTGGAACCATCAATGTTGAATAATCAGTAACAAATGCCATACCAGAATGCTAGATATTCAAAAATAAAGTCTTTAAATCTTTATCTGAACATGAATTTTATTTGACCGCAAGCGTCTGTGATAAACTATGACTCAGAAAAAAGGATAAAACACTTACCATGAGTATGAATGCTTCTCTTGACAATAAATTTACACGTTTATTCATTCTTTCATACCATTCTCTTGTACCATAACCAGTCCACATCTGGTCACCACCTTCTTGTCGTTGTTGAGATGCTTCATCATCCTGGTCGTCATTTTGTCCTGATCGTGATGCTTGTGTTTTGTCAGATATTTGTGGCATACCAACTTGAACATTCCAGTCCTCACCAACATCAACTCTGTATTGTTTGTTTCTGAATTGTTGTCTTCTGCCAAAGTCTGATCCTCTTCTCTTGTCACCATATAAACGTTCCATATTTGTTGTTATATATGCATCATCACCCTCAACAGTTTCTAATGTATGAAATTGACGTAAACCAAATGATATTTTTTTTAGTAATGCACGTAAAAAGTGTTCGTGATGTCTTTTTCTCATTAGTTCTTCTTCTTCACCAAACGATTGTTTTTTGTTGTCATCGGATGATGAGGGTTCTTTACCTTCTGAGACTTCACGTAGAGATACGAATTCACCTTCTTCGACTTGACGTAGTGATTCACCTTCTTCGACTCCACGCGGATTTACTGATTCACTTCCTTTCTTGTCTGATGATAATTCACCACCACTAATCGGTAAACCTTGAATAAGTGGTAATCGTTCATAACTGATCAAATAACGTAATAAACGTTCCTTTGTGATATCATTAGGTAAAGCTTGAGTAATGGCATCGTATGAGATGACGTTAACACCAACTGTTGATTCCTAAATCCCAAGAAATACCATTTAGTGAAAAACTTTTCTATGAAAATACAATCTATTTTTCTTAAAAAAAAATAAGTAGTTGTGGTTTACAGAGAGGACAAAAGGTATACTAGATCACTTTTCATATAAAAACACAGCAGCTTCGGCTGTTACAGAACTTTATCCATTTAAAGATCGAATTTCTTTATCTCCCTTCTAATTCGGTTAAAGCCGTTTTCTAAAATGCGTCGGTCACTTGGCTAGAAAACTTGAAGAAAACTTACTGGTAAGCCAGTTAGTAATAAGTCCCATTTTGATACCATACGACCACTTTCGTCTCTTGATGGTGTTTGCTGTTCTGTACCACTTTCTCTTGACATGTTCATTGTCAAATTGTTCTTAAATAAGCCATCAACGGAGAAACGATAAGTTTCTGCAACACTAATTCCTATACTTGGATTGAAACCATACACTAACAATGTTGAATATGGTAGCATTTCACGTGTCATGAGGATTTCTAATGTTGAATTGAAAACACATTGTGGTGGTTTTGATGGATCTTCTTGCTCAGGTTGAATTGAACGTGGTGCCATAGTGGTACAAACTCTTGTTGGTTCAACAGTAAATGTTCCAGATGATGTAATTTTTCCATTGGTCATGACGATATAGGTCATTGGAAAGGGTTCATAACGTTCAAAGGATTTCATTGGTAATAACTGAACGTAGAAATAGGCTGGTCTTCCAACTGTTGCTAGCATTGTAGATATGGGTTGTTCTGATGATGACGATGAACGACGATGTAAACCGGTTTTATCAGCAACCATTTCAACTGATAATTTTGCACTATTTTCACGACGTTTTGGAAGTGGTATTAATGGTACAGTTCTTGTTCGATATTCACGTTGTTTTCCATCTTCTCCCATTGGTGTAAGCTAAAAAATACTATATTAAAAACAATCCGTCATGTCAATCCCAAAAACCTTACAGTGAGATAGACTCCGATACAGTTGGCTGGTATGTCAAAATTGAAGAATCCAATATCGGTACGACCACGTGTGTATAAATCACGGATTTCAATTGTTTTTGGTGCATCGGTTTCAAAGAGCATTGTGACATTGACCAACATCTCTTCCATTTTAGCTGGTTTTCCATCTGGACGTTTTGCTAATATCTAAATACAAAATAAAAAATCGAATAAAATATTTGCTCAACAAATTGCTCTAAATATTCATTTACTTCGTATTCGTTCTTTTCACCAGCATAAAAGTCTAATGGACGAATATCGTAAATGACATCACGTCTGAAGATTGGTACAATATATTTAACAACACGTTCTTTACTGAATCGTTCTGCTTTGACAGAAACGTAGACGGTGAGAGCCAAGGCTTTGCTTAAATCAATACCGAACATTTCTACCAAATCAAAATTCATCGGTGAACGACCATCAACTTCGATGACTGTGGTCTTTTGTCCAGCTGGTAATGTTGAATCATCTGATTGTTTTTCATCACTCATGACTTTATCCGCACGATCACCACTAACTAAATCTTGTTCGGTTATTTGTCCAATTGAGACTGTTGCACGTCCAAATATTGGTCTATCGAAATCATCAGCAATTTCAACGAAGCCACGAAACAATTTTTCGGTACGTAATAGAAAGTTTGGTAAGAGAACTTTCATGTCAAAACCCGATTGTGTTGGGCGACTGACTAATATTTCCACAGATGATGTGACAGTTTCAATTGTTGCTGCTATAAGCCAGTTGCCGAGTGCAAGTTGTTGAGATTCTTGAGGTATACAATATTGAACAACATCACTCAAACCTATAAAAAAACAGAGTGTGATCACTCTTCATTTGTTAATTCCGTCTTTCTTACTCACCATTTCGAATCTGAACACGTTTGTAATCAGTGACTAATTTCATTCGACTGTCCTAAAAGAAAAAAATGAATTAACCTTCCATGTTACACAGTTTTTAATATTCAAAATAACTTACGTAGATTTCGATGGTCATTTCACCATTTTCAATTGGAATCATATTTTCATTTGTGGCAACAACACGAATTTCAACAGTGTCATTTGGACGGTATGTTGTGGATGATGTTTGCACTAATAAAACATATCGATCATCATAAATCAAAACTTCACGTCGCTCGGTAAATTTGAGACCACCCGTTGCTTGAATAATTAATTCACCAACACCAATGGGGAATTGTCTGTTTAATGCCAATGTGACATTTTTGGTTTCACCTAGAAGGATTATGAGGATAATTAGAAAAAGCTATATCACAAAATAATATCTCTTACTTGGTCTAACTGTTATTTGAGTTCGGAGATGAGCATCTCTTGAGATCAATTCAAAACTGAATTCAACTGGTTGGGCTACGTTAGCAACTGAAATCGATATTTCATTGCTCCAATCAACTTTTAATAATTTTGGTAAAACAATCAAATAGGAACTAGAAACAAACATGAATATAGAGCATAAGGGTATTTAGCTGTTTCAATGTGATTAACGTACTTTTCTGCTAAACTCCATTGAATATAACACAAACTGATTAAAAGAAGAGCGAACTAAAGAGTAGAAAAAAAAGTGTTACATTCTCGATATTCTGTCATGTTACGCTTTCGCTACATCCACTACTAGTAGACGCTAAGAGGTTCGACACAATGTAATCGAATGCACATCAAACAGAATAATATCAATACACG